GCTCAGGAGCTACCCTCTCTACTCTGACTCAAAATCCTTCTCTCTTGGAATGCCAAAGCCACTTAGAACTTGTAGGACACAAGTGAGACCTGAGTATGTATAGTTTTATATTGTTTGCTTTCTCACCTCTATGCACTAGCTTTGTTCCCCCAATTAAATGGAAACCTCAGGACTACGTGTCTTATACTTCTTTATCCTGATGGCGCTCAGCCTATGCATCCATTCAACAACTACATAGTAAGCACCTGCTATATGCCAGACAGTATTCTAGATGTTACAAAACACAGCAGTGAAGAAAATAAAATCTCATTTTCATGGAGCTTACGTTCTGATGGGACAACAAACAAAGTAAAATACAAAGGTAAAACACACAGCACGGTGGATAATAAATGCTTGGAAAGGTAGACGAAGGAGACAGGGAGTGGGGAATGTTGGAGAGGGGATGCTTGGGAAGTCTTACCTGAGAGATAACATTTGGATAAAGACCTGCAGGCGGGGAGGAAAAGTGCCATGCAGATATCTGGAGGAAGAGCATTCTAGGCAGATGGAAGAGCAAGCAACAAAGACCTACAGACGGCTGGCATGTGCAAGAAACAGCAAGGAGGCTAGTGGGGCAGGAGCAGAGTGAATGTGAGGGAGAGTAATAGGAGACGAGGCCAGAGACATAACAAGGGCCTAGATGGTATAGAGCCTTTCAGCCATTATAAGGATCTGACCTTCTCTGAGTGAGAGGAAGAGTCCTAGGAAGTTTGGAACAGAGAAGTGACATGATATGACTTCCATTTTAAAATGCTCATTATGGTGCTGTGTTGGAAATAGGTTATGAGACTGGGCAAGTACAGAGCAGAGAAATCTGTTGAAGGCACCTGCAACAATCCACATGAAAACTGTTTGCTGCTAAGACCAGAAGGGTAGTGGTGGAAGTGATGATAAATTATCATATTCTGGGTATATTTTAAATGTAGTGATGACAGGATTTGCCAATGGAATGAATTTGGGCAATAAAAGATGAAAGGACTCAATAGTGGCCCCAAGGATTTTGGCCCAAGCAACCAGAAGCACTGAGTTACATGAAGTAAGATGCAAAGACTTGCAGGAGGAATAGATTCGGGATGGTACAGGAGCGCAGGAGTTTGTTTATTGACATAGAAAAGGAACCCCATAAATGTAGATGATTTATTCTAGAAATTTTGTGTTTATTTCCATTTTATCCTAAAAATCACTAATTCAGTCATCCATCTCTACATCATATCAGTTTCTCTCATCTACAGTTATACTTTATGGACTCAAGATGGGCGAGAAAAAGCAAATTTCAATGAGTTTAACTCTTCCAAAGGATTCTCTATAATTTAGGTTCATTTTGTTTTTAAATTTGACCGGTGGTGGGGGGGACTGTTAATCATCTAGATAATTAAAATTTCCTTGTAACAGATTATATGTAAAGTCAGAATAAAGAATAATAAAATTTCTTTATATTACTCATTTATACAGTTATTTATTCTTTATCAAACTGATATATGCAAGGCATGAGGCATCGTATGGGATACAAAATGATCAAAACTAGGTTCCTCAATTCAGGGCAAGTAAGAAAATTTAACATCTGAAAACAAATCAACATATATGAAGGAAGATTATGTTAGGTATCAAAAAGGAAGTAAGCAAGTTACTTCCCCTCTGTGAAGTTCAGTTTACTCATCTGTAAAATGGGAGGTTTGGACCAAGTTATCTCTAGGGCTTTTAACCATTCTAATATTCTATGTAAAGGACATAAGCAGGCCTTAAAATATGAGATTGCAAAAGATGAAAGAAGACAATGTAGTACTTCTGTGACAAGACAGTCCCAGGATCATTCAGCGAAATAGGTACTGTGGTTGGGTTATAAACCAATTGCCGTCAAGCTGATTCAGACTCATGATGATATCATGTACGTCAGAACAGAACTGTGCTCCATAGAGTTTTCAATGGCTAGTTTTGTGAAAGTAGATGGCCAGACCTTTCTTCAGAGGTGCCCCTGGTTGGACTCAAAACTCCAACCTTTTGGTTAGCAGCTAAGAACACTAACAGTGTGCACCACCCAGGGACTCCCTGAAAATGGCAGTAGGAACGTAGGCTGAAAAATCAGGAGGGCTTGATTACAAAGCTTTTTAAACATCACACTAAAGTCAAGAATTTTTTCAGTACGCAATTTGTATAGATGTCAATCAAATCAATACCATCTATTAATGCAATCTAATCCACTTCTCTAACATCAACTAAATTGAAGGAATTCAATTCCAATTCAAATCTAACCAATTCTGTTCCTAACTGCACATGCAGTACTTCTTCCTCTGACCCTAAGCACTCTGAGCTAGATTAAAGCTAACAAGTTAAAGAGCACAGTCCTCCAGACGGCCAAGTCAGCCCGAGATATCACACGCCAGCTGCAGCTTGGGAGTCCCCAGGTCCCCCTTACTTCTGACCTGCTGACTACAAATTTGATGGTTCCCTCTATACAGGATGCCAGCTGTAAGCTCGAGGGTCCCCAGGTTCCTGCAGTTCTGACCTGGCTTCCACTATTCCCTTGGGTTCAAAAACTCACTAGAACAACTCACAGAACTCACAGAAAGCTCTATACTTACGACTGCAGTTTTATTATGGCAAAAGAGATGCAAATGAAGTGAGATCTGGGAGGGTTCCTAGTGAGAAGCTTCCATGTTCAAAAATGGGACATGCTACCGTTCTTGGTGCATCATTGTCGTTCACCAACCAGGAAGTCCATGAAGCTTCTCTGTCCAGAGCCTTTCCTGGGGCCTCATTTTCTAGGTATGATTGATTGAATCAGCTGAGGTCAGGTGATATAACAGGTGGTCTTTCTGGTCTGGCCAGCCATCACCCAAGAGGTACCTCATTAGCATAACCTGTTAGATTAGGTGTAGTCTGGAGCCCTCCTCAAAGACACTTCAATCACTGCGGAAATTCCAAGATTTTAGCAATTATCTCTTAGGAACCAAGAACAAAAACCAACTTCTTTAGGTAGCATTAACCCTACAGCAAAGAAGTCACTGAAAGTGTTTAGTCTGGGGAAGAACATGAATATGATTCTATGATAACATCAGTTCATTAGGAATAACCTAAAGTGGACGAGAGAGAGTCTATGAACATATACTATGTGTTTCACACAGGAGACAGAACAATGAAATGAGACAGGTGCTGCCAAAAGCAGCAGCTGATTCTGCCTAAAGCTATTCCTTAAGTCTACACCAAAGACTCTTAGAATCTGGAATTCAGTGGTTGTATGTGTATGTGTATGAGAGAGAGAGATGTGAGAGAGAGAGAGAGAGAGAGAACTCAGAAGAAATAATACTTCAAAGACAGAAATAACAATTATGAGTGACTTTCAGGCTGTAAGTGTGATGAAAGGTGGAAGACTTCACAATGACTTAGTTTCTCATAGGGTAACTGAAAAGACATATAGATATAGGACAGGAATATATTGTCGATTTTAGGATGAAATGGAAATAAACCCAAAATTTCTAGAATGAATCATCAACATTTATGGAGTGCCTCTCATATATATGAAGCCCTAGTGGCGCAGTAGTTAAGCACTTGGCTGCTAACTGAAAAGTCGGCAGTTCAAATCCACCAGCTTGTCTGCATGAAAAAGATGTGGCAGTCTGCTTCCATAAAGATTACAGCCTTGGAAACCCTATGGGGTAGTTCTACTCTGTCCTATAGGGTTGCTATGAGTCAGAATCGACTCGATGGCAATGGGTTTAGTTTGGTTTGGTTTTCGCCTATATCTGTATCTCAGTAGGGTAACTCATATCCAAGCAAAAGAGAAACTAATGAATGGCAAGATGCTGTAAAAGTAAGTGTGCTTAGATACACACATATAAAACTAGGTTCAAAAAGTTCAAGAAAATCATGGCCTTGATGAGAAATATATTCAGGCTGGATAAGAGTTCCCTTGAAAAAGGTTCAGTATATGTCTGTCCAAATATATGTCCAAATATATGATCCAGTCCCGGCTCTAGTCAAAGAAAGCATTTGCCAACTACGGTTCCTGCCCCAGTAATCAATGCTCACGAATTGTACTGCTGGACACAGCATGGGGCAGTCTTTCAGTTCTGCTTAACAATGTGAAGTGAATGACGGAAAATTTTTTGAACGGCATGTTTATTTTTTAAAATGCATCAGAGTGATTTTATTGTCAACGTGAGAAATTACAATAAAAATATAGGTTGGTCCTCAAATTCACTGCATATTTTCTCTTAAATTTACTACGAGATATGTGACTACTTGCCAGTAAGATAGTTAAAATTTCCATTTTAAACCAAAGTACATAAACACTATTAGCTCTTATGTTTAAATTAAACAAATCCTGCTTGGTTGTAAACAAAAGGCACTTTGATGTCTTATTTTAAAAAGTGATCTTGAAAAAACAGAAGTTTTAAAAAATCTTACTTTATAGGTATTTAAATATTTTAAGTTTTACTACTGTATTTTTAATACCATTCTTCCACTTGCAATTACTTATCAAGTAATTTGTTTAAAAATAAGAAATATAAATTTTTATTTTTAAAGAAATTATTTTTATTGTTACAGTATGCTTTCTACATAAATCATTTATTCTGCCAAAAAACACCAAACTCATTGCCATCAAGTCAATTCCAACTCATAGCGACCCTACAGGACAGAACAGAACTGCCTCATAGGGTTTCCAAGGAGCAACTGGTGGATTCCAACTGCCAACCTTTTGGTTAGCAGCCATAGCTCTTAACCGCTATGCCATCAGAGCTCCTTTTTTTTTTTGTTTTTTGTTTAAAAATAATGGTACTGAAGTATACAGAAATTTCATTTTTTAAATTTAAGAATCTAGATATTTGTTAACTGATGACATGTATGATAAAGTAATACTTAGAAAACAATTTTAAATATCAGATACTGAAATGCTATAAGGAAACTTGTCTTTTCGTTCTCCTAACGTGTTTTTTTTGAGACACTACAGAAATCAGTCTCACCTGTTTTTGTTTGTAAGTTTCTTCTTGGTTCTTCGGGGGCTTCAATTGGCTGATCAGCAAGGAACACCCGAGCCTGGTCTATAGCATTCAGGACAGAATACTCTTTCTCCTTTAATTCTCGCCTCAGTGCCTTTGCAAAGAGAAGCAAAAGTTGAAGTTATAAGCTAATGTATTCACCAAATACTGGAACATTTTCAGTTATACCACCTCTGACCACACTTGTCAAAGGAATGACTAACAACCAGCGTATAAGTTAGGTTCTAAATAAAAAAATGTAAATTTTGGAGAGTTCCGGCAAACTGGTGCTCTAGACAGAAGCACCACGCCGTCCCTGCCCATCAAAGATCTGAAAAACTAAGCCGAACAGAGAATACAACAATCCTGAAACCCTAAAACATCAAATGAAGAGATAAAGAACTCAGCCAAGCACCAAATGGAGTGAGAAAACTGACAGA